AGTATCGTCTAACTCGAAAATATTACTTTTAACTTATAGTCTCGTGTTAACATCACATAGTCTATCCAATCTATAGATATAATAAAAATAGGGATAATTGTTGGATTTATTTTATTTTAAAAGTAGAAATCCCTCAGGAATATACGTAAATATTGATATATATATATTAATACTAATATATATTAAAATAACGAAGTGGAGGCCCAGTATGCGAATGTACCAAGTATATGGTCCGATGTTGAAAGAATCATGACTTTTCTGGCAGAGGAAACCTAACGAGGTGCTTTCTATGAGGTTGCCTAAAAGCCGTGACAAAGTTTACAAAACTTGACCAGGGCAATTATAATTAAGAAAAGGATACTGAAACTAAAATAGAGGCTAACGCAACTTGACGAAAGCCTACCAGCAAATCTTCGCAACCAGAAATGTGACTATAGTTTGGGGTCTACCCTGTCAGAAAGCCATACTTGGCCAGTAAGTCATAGGAGCCGTAACCATGTTGAATCTACATAGATATAAATAAAATTGCAGATAAAAAATCAGCCAGGTCGATTTTGTAAGTGAAAGCTGTCCTTGTGTTGAAATGAAGTCTACTTTTAGGTTTATCGTGAGTAATTTTCATTTTACTCCCTACCCTTCCTTACCAAAAAAGGATATTGTTCTTTTGCAATTTGATATTTAACAGCTTCGATTATAACGATTGTTGGGACCATGCCTATGCCAACAATTCCCATACTTGTAGGCTAAAGTTGGGAGGCTTACAAAAGTGGAATGTATTTACATGACTTGATAATCATTGTTATTTAGTCTCGTTGAGACAATCATTTGTGACCACCATACAGAAGGCAGATTGGTAAAAATAACTGTACGCAAGAAATCGAGGCTGACTGTTATGAAAGTATCTACGCCTAAAATACAAGGATTGTATTCTGTATCAATTCAGCTCATAGCCATAATTTCCTGGTCTTGTCAAGCACATCGGTCGATCTTTTACCCGCCGTAGTTGTGGATCGTAAGTAGTAGCCATACATGTGCTCCTGAGGAAAGCTTTATGAAGTTTTACCTGCTGTTTTTTTGTGATGGGAAAAAGAATTAAGTGGTTTTTGTGTTTCATTGCTGGGAAAGGTATTGGTGTGGCATAGGACAAGTATATCTTCAAGGATTCATACGGCTGGCTGACAACTGGTTGAAAAAAGGCAGAATGACAAATTGTGACATGACTGTCCATTTTGAAGGATAAGCTGGTTGAAAGGAGCTTGTGTAAAGGTCTCACCGGATACCAAAGGAGGATTTATACCAAGTGAAAACTATTGGATTGTGCGAAGAACTTCTCGGCTTACCGTCCTGTAACCCCGATAAACTTGTGCTAATCTTTCGTCTATAATGTGACCGGCATCGTCAGAGCGAGGAACCATACTTTACGAAAAAACACGGCAAATACAATGAACCAAGAAATCAAGGGTGGCTCACAGCAATCTGACTCTCGTCTTACACCCAATTAAGCGATCTTAATTAGAAATCCTATGATTTATTTGACTATTTCATACCTAACCTACATTTTGTAGATGGAAGATGTTGATACATGAAAAGGAAATGGATGTATAGACAGCTGTTTTCATTTCATAACTAATCAAACGAATGATCCTGTAACCCTTTGCCTATGTGATATTTCATATTGTGTGCATGCAGTACAAGTCATGTGAAGTGCTAGAGTCATAATTAGACTCGAAACAATTTAAGCCTCTTCCTCTTATTCAGTGGTTCTTCCACTGCCCTCTCTTCCTATTTCTCATTAAGTCTACCCTACAACCACTATTCCTGATCACTTCCCTGCAATCATTTGCCCTATTCTAGGTGTTGGTTTTCTTTTTAATTATATGACCTCAATAAGCCTAAGTTTGTATGTAAGATCCTCGTAGGGTGACAAGCGCTATGTTTTGGACCATACTATTTCGTTTCCTATATTAAACATGTGTTAGGCTAGTTTAGATTTTTGGATCTGCTTCGTGTTCAGATAACCTCTTAAAATTGGATTAGCAGGTATTCCCAACATATAGATTAATATATGAGCATAAAACTTTGTATCCTCCTGAAAAGTGGGCCCTAAGATCCACGGAATGAAGGAATACCTGAAGATAGCGTAAGCGTCTGATGCTCCACTTCGACAGTAGTTCACTAATATTTTTTGAATCTTAACAGGATTGCAACTTCAAAGAATTAAATGAATTAGCGATTTTGTCTCACCGGAAACCGAAAGATGATTGCCGCGTATGGAAAACTGTTGAATTGTGCGAAGAATTTCTCGGCTCACCGTCCTGCGACCCCGATGAAACTGTGTTAAGCTTTCGTCTGTACTGTGACAGACATCATCAGAGCAGGAATCCAGACTTCACGAAATAGAGCAAAACTATAGTACACCAAGAGAAAAGGTGGATGGCTGCAACCATAGTTGAAATTATATACACGTAATTTCGCGATCTTAATAAGGCCTTCCATGATTTGGTTGACTACTTGAACCTTACTCTACATACTTGAAAATGAGTGAAGCTATTTCGCTAACCGGATGTGCGTTTGATGGCAGCTGTTTCTTTGCCCAAATAAACAAATATACGATCCTCTAATTTTGAATCATGTTTGGGCTTGTGCTATTGTCTATTGTGGGTATATAATGGTCATGACTTGAGGCTCATCCAGCTTCCTTCTCTTATTTAGTGGGTCTTCCTGCACTCCCTTTCTCTCTCTCTCCTTAAGCCTATCATTCAGCCACAAATAGTTCCTACTCCATTTTCTACATTCGTTCCTCTTATTCAGGACCTTGACTGCTTTGTTAACTTTGATAGTCTCCCTAATCTTACGTTTTGATGTGAAGCCCCGTAACCCGCAAAACGATGTGTTTTGGACCAGTCGATTGAGTTTTCTGTATTTGTCATATATTCAGCGAGCTCAGACTTTTGGACCCATAGCAGTTTTGTGTTCCCATAGTTTCTTATGAATGGGTTGGCAGGTATCCACTACATAGACTTTACCACATGGACACAAAACCTTCTAGCAGCCTTATCTAGAATGACGGTCTGAAAATTCTCTAAACGAAGGAACCACTGAATAAAATGTTAATTTCTCTTTATACATTGTTTTTCTGTTCCACTTCCTCAGTATATCACCCAACTTTTTCCAAGCCTCATCATACTCGCGAAGATATGAGTATAAAAATACGACAAGGGTTGAGGCCGGCCACATTTTATTTTGATTTAGTATATTATTGCCCTATTTCGTGGATG